TATAATGAAAATAAATAGATTTTATCTATTAAAAATAAAATAAATAATTATAAATTTATGTAAATATAATATATAAAATTTGAGTAAAAAGGTATACTACCACTTCCGAAGTTCTAAAATGAGTAATATTCATTGCATTCAACATGTTGGGTTTTATTTTTTAACCCAATAAAATGTTCAATCTTGCTGCAGCGCCTGACACACGGTGCTGCATCAATCCTTTGATCCAACGGCTTAACGGCTTTAGGCCGCCGTTAAGCATCCAAAGGCCTTTTTTTAAAATCATTTTTAATTTAAAATTTTGTTATTTAAATTTACAAAATATAAGTTGAATAAAATTACTAAAGAGTGTGATTTTTAAGGAAAATCAATGCATGGGAGAAAATACATTCTTATAGATGTTTTAATTGAAAATTAAATATAAAAAAATATAAATTTATATAAAATAATATTAATTTTAATGTAACACTAAAATAAAAATTGTTTGATCTACATTGTACATGCTCTCGCTCCATGAATTACACGGTAACGCGAGCTTTACCACTCTTTTATGAATGATAGAGACTCAAAATTTTGACGAACATTGGGATCATTGAAAGGATTAATGCAAAATTCCAACGCTGGCACACATGGAAAAAAGAACGTTGCTTTCTTTCTTTTTTTTTTTTTTTTGACCATTTTGGCTCGAACCCGCCCAAAGAAGTACACCAACAAACTAACTAATGCAGAACGTTGCTTTCTTTCCAATCAATGAACCATTGAAAGGTATGGTATATACGTCTGTTCAAAAAAAGGTATGGTATATACGTCCTTTTCCATTCTTTCTGTTTAACAAAAATGAAATGGTCCTTTCCCATTCATTAATTTTTTTTTCCAGCCTAATGATGTTTTCAGCATAGGCTAGCGTTGATGATCAATATCTAGTTTGACTCTTTGGGTGGGGCACTTGATGAGTGGTTGGCTTCCAGCCACAGTAAGTTAAGAGTAAACCAACATCTCATGCCTATAAAAGAAGCCATGCAGAGCCATACCCTGGAGCTTCAACAAGAACCCAAAAATAACAGAGAAACGAATTTTTAAGATCCAATGGCAGAAAAAAAGGTTGAGGTTTGGTCCCAAATTCTGTCAGAGACATCACTCGAGAAACTTACCTTACCACAAGATGTGTTGCAGCATAAGATGCATCTATTACCTCCAGAATTATCAAAGAGTGGACGGGCAGTTTTGAACTTTACGAAAGACGGTAAGATTCTGTCTGCAGTCACCATCGCACGTCACGCCGGTCCTCGACTGGTTTTGCTGCCGGGACTGTGGAAGAAAAATGTTGAGGAACTAGGCCTGAAAAGAGGCGATAAGTTGAGTATTTTTCTCGCGTATGGAGCGGAAAGGACTTACTCAATTGAAGTTGAAAAATCGCCAACCGCAGAGAGCCAGGCGGA